CCTGCACAATGCACTGAGTTCAGGAACAATACTTGAGTGATAAAGACACGTTTCTTTCCCTTAGATAATGCCTTACCTCCTTCTATTTCTAACCTGCTTTGTATTATAAACCTGCTTCATTGAAGTTAAAGCAGAAATTAAATCAGAATTATAAAACAAAATTCTGCTTTTTTTTAAATATGAGACATTCACATACATCACATACACTCAACTATCATCATTCACAAGCCCTGATTTAGGTATCATATGTCTAGACATCTGTATGAAAGTTACTGGTTGCTTCATGAACAGATAAAAATGTGCATGCTCACAAGGAGGTTATGTACATGTCTTTGAAAATGAGATTCCTGTTGCCTTTTCAAACATCCATAAATTATTGGGTTTTTTCACTTAGAAGCCGGAATAATGAAAATTGTTTTAATTAAGTTTGGAAAATTCTAACTCAACTTTGGAGCAACAGTGAAACCCCATTACTGTCAAAACTCTCATAAAAAACATTTTTCATGCAGCCCATGATCACAGATAAGAACTAAAACTCTTACAGAGAAAATAAGAACAGTTTGCCACCATACATCATGCATAACATCTAGTTCTTGAGCCAAAATAAACAATATAGGCTAGAGAGCCCATGAATATTCTGAAAGGTAAACACGGAGAATGTTTAAGGCTTTTTTTAAACTCACTTCATTCTGCCTGTAATGTTCTCCTTCTGATAGTCTTATCTGTGAAGTCTGGTTGATAATGGAAAAAAATGTCAACACCCACTGGATTATGCCTTTGCTTGTGGTTTTAGACTGCATTGCACTGTGATTGCCTAAGATCTAATGCATATTTTACTGACTCACTAATAAGACAAATCTTTGCTGTAAATTCAAAGAAATAAACGCGTCAATCCTTCAGTTTGCCTTTTTCCCCCCTTAGAATTTATAACCACCTGCCTCCAGTCTGATATTACCACTTACTTATTTACCTCTAGGACAAAAATCTGTCACCAGAAAGAGGCTGAAATGCAGCCAGATCCAGTCCAGTCCATTTGTAGTCATCTGAACAACTGCCTGTAAAAATTCATGGCTTTCCCAACCGAGCAAGAAATGCGCAAGCCGCCTCTTTACACTGTAATTCTACATTACAACAACTTCCTAAAATTTTGTCGGTCATACACAAGAAGCAGCACTAAGAGCAACACCACAGTACTTCACGCGCAAGGGAAGGGACAGACAAAAAATGTTAGCATTCATAAAATCCCATAGTTCTCAAATCAGACAACATTTCTGCTGACTGGCTGCATATGTAAACAAACAGCCGGTCTGAACATACATTTGTTATATGTACAACAAATTAGTACATGAGACTAATTTGCCACTTTGTTCAGCAGACTTTAGCTAGCATGCATGACCAATGACAAGAAAGAAAACATCTGCAGAAACAATATACGATAAATAAGCATACAAAGCTGGGACAGTAAGCAAAATTGAAAGCCAGATCAAGCACCACACCAGGATACATAAAACAGTCTGATTAACTAAATTGGCCAGATAAGACAAAATGCCATTACCAGATTGAGATCCAGAGCAACAAAGAATCCACACAGGACAGCAGAGACAGCTGTGGAAGCCAGGCCTCTCCCAAAAATAGATTTCTTCCAGTATCAGAGAGTTCAACAACAACAGCTGAGTAATTGAATGCCTACCACAGAGAGTAACCAACACCTGAATAACCAGTCCCAAAGACATGGTCTTGCCTCCTTGGCATTCAGTGAGCTCCAGGTGATCCGCAGACTGATAGACTTTTGAGTGACCTTACCCCAGGCATAGGACATGCGTCACATCCAAGGACTTAATACACCAGAGGCAATTGTGACCAGAGCTTACAGAAGTAGTAATAAGAACAAAGTGTTTATTTAGTTAGTTCTCTTTCTCTTTCATTTTCTAATGTTATTTGTCAGGTGGAAACAAACAAACAAAAAAAGATGATGGCCATGTTGTACAGACAACCAGCAAATGCTGTGAAAATGGCAAAACTAAATACCACTATTCCTCTACACAGAAGCCTCTGCTAACACTACTGTGGTAGATGCAACTTAAAAGCCTTTGACATAGTAACTAAGTGTGAATTTAAAACTTAAAAGAATCCAACAATTTTCATCATACATAAATACATTTCAAATGCCGTTGAAAAAATAATTCCGCAAACATTGTAACAATTGATTGACTCTTTTAATATTGTAGCTGGAAAGGATCTTCTAGTGAGCATACCTGACTTTAAAACTCAAGAAAAGAAATCACAAAGCTGATGGCATCTAAATTGCAAACAGCCTTTAATCAGCACATTAATGAACACTTCCACCATATAAACAATAAGTAAAGTACCACAGAACTTTGCTAATTTTCACATCAATTATCTACAAACCAAAGCCTTATGATCAAGAAACCACAGTGGCCTCTTCCAACTTCCCAGCAAGAGATTTATTAACAGCACACAGTAGCAAGACATCCTATTACAAAGACATTTACCACATACTGTACAGGCTACTTACTATAATATTATGAAGTAATTAATAACACCTGTACATAAAGAAGAGAGCATGTTTGTTTAGTTTCTAAATCAAAAAAAATTTAACAAACCAGAGAGATGGGATGAAACCATTTCATTAGCAGAGAAAATTAGAATATGTTTCATTACCAAAATTCAAAGGCCTGCATGCCCAAAAATTTCTCTTGACATCAAAAGGAGCTAAAAAGGTCATGTAGTTCACATGCAAAAAAGTTCGCATATGTCAAAAGCTGAATTCTTCTTCTATTTCAGTTCTACCTATTAGCCTCTCAGAAAGTTCTGGAAATGAAATAAACCAGCTTCATTAACGGGTTTTTTTGAAATTAAGTCTTGTCTTTTTAAACACAGAAAAATATCTGCAGAGATACTGAAAGTAAGAGCCATGCATTGGATCTTTCAGATGTCTTCCAGAACACAGCCCATGTTCACCAAGACGGTCATTCCTCTTCACCTGGGATTCTCTATTCTGTGCCTAGGAAAAGGCTGTGTTGTCACCTTTACTAGAAAACTATGTCCTGCATTGGTTCATTTTGAAAAAGGTAAATTAAGGGGAAAGAATCACTAAAAGAAAAGAAAAAAAAGGAAAAAACCCAATTATGTAAAGTTTAGTCATATCTGGACCCTGTAAACTAACATAAATAATTTGCAGGCACGTGCTGACATCCACACAGATCTTCAGCAAAATGCACGTTTCCCATATGCACACTCCACATAATGCAAATTCCAATCTGAATGTTGTATATACTCACCTTTTCTCCTCCTCTTCCTGCTCTAGTTGGAAGTACCACCTTCCCTTGTCATGGCAAGTATTTTAGTCAAGATATGTCCACAGGATGCGCACATGTGTACACACACATGCACCTACGCAGCATCAAGAGGTCAAAGACAAATCTCTTGTGGCTGCAGATGGTCAAGAACTCAGGAGAAAGAAATAATGTCTCATCGATTTAATTCTGGGTATTTAACAACAGAAGTTTTCAAAGGAAAATCCTAGCTACCTGGTAGCTTCTGGATGTGCCAGCCAAGAATGTTACAAAAGACTATACTGGAGCTCCTGGTTTGTACTAATGGATCTCAGTCCACCAGGAGACCTTTCCACACCCAGCAGATTGATCTACCTTCTAGTCCATCCAACTGGAGCCGACGCTTGGGTCTGTTTAGCTCAGCTCGGTATCATCTCCAACTTCAGGTAAACCAGATCCTGCAGCACACAAGACCAACTGTGCAGCTCACAAGACTCCCTGAACAGGCTGCTTTTTTTTTTTGATCGCACCAGACACTAGCATCGTTTTTGTTGTGAATTCACCACAACGCCTGGCGCCAGCAGGAAGCTGGACGCAAGACCAAGGCATGATACGTGGCCATAAAACGCATTACTGCCATTAAATGCCACACATGTTGGGTCTGCAGCAGCTCCCCTCCATGGCTGTTCCTCGCTGGCAGCTGCTATCAGAGGGTGTCACACCCTCCATAAACGCAGTGGAGAAAAGGACACTCAATGGGCAAAGGTAGATGGAGAAAAGGTACCATTTTTGTGTTCCTCCTGCTATTCACCTTCACTTACAGCTTTCCCAATCCAAATCAGCCCTCCGTGAACATATCCTTGCTCCCTTTCCTGCTTGCCTGCCTTCTGCTGGGCACCCCAGCTCCCCGCTCTGCAAAGGGAACTCCAGGCTCCAGCAGGTCTCACATCATGTCAGAAACACCCGGCCTCTGCCCCTCGTACACAGAGGAGGAGAAATCTCTTCAACTACTGGGTGAAACCTTTCACCAGCTGTTTCAGGACCATATACAGGCAGCAAAGTTGTATACAAAAAAATCTTGTTACATCATTTTTCCACTATCTCCAGACACATATAAGCTAACTGAAAACTATATGCTGCAAAATGCTACAGGCCTAAGCTTGTTATGACTCTTTTGCATAGCCTTTACAAGTGAACTCAGTAGAGTTTTATCTGTATGAAGAACAGAGCTATTGCTAATTTGTCTCTATTAGCAGGCAGTTCTGAATTTTCTTCTTATGCTCCTAGCACTAGAGTTTGTATTTTTGAAGGAAAATAAAGACTTCATTAACCATAAATACCTGAAAAAAAATTCAAGGAGGTAAAATTTTGTATCTATCTGTTGAGCTTGGAAAGACTACTATTTAATTTAACAAAGGCACATGCATTTTATGTAATTCTTGTGTGTATATAATCAGCATTATGTTTTCCTCCACTTGAATAATGGTATATTCTTAAAGGATCAAGGGAAAAAAAAAAGCTTTACATGAAGCTCCCAGAATTATTCCATGTGGGGTGGAAGACCACTGAGTGGTTAATATCTCCACTGAAACCTTTTCCTTTAGCAGCACTGTTGTCATCCTGATAGGTATCTTCTAGAAAACCATGTTTGTTTTTCCTGTCTCACAATAATTTATCAGTAATTTTATGTTAAAAGAGTATTACCGCAGTTCGGGACCTTCATATCCAGCAAGGCTGTCCTCTTGTTGTTGTCATCTATGCAATATAAATCCTGAGTTTCTGTGTAAAACTTGGTCTCTTGAAATTTCTTGATCCACATAATTTCACAGGAACACTTGAATGGATTGTCCACCAATATCCTATAGCAAAAAAACCCAATTTATTTAGAATGCAGAATGTGTCATGCATATAGAAAAAAATGGGGGGCAGGGGAACTCCAAGCACTCAGCTGGGTGAAAGTAGAAGTTGAACCCTTTAGTCAAGAAGGATAAGGAATGCAACCTTAGTAACCTCAGTGCAATGTAAGCTACAAGTGGATAATGGTTTCCTTGTAGAGTGAAGCTGTCTTTGCACCAAGAATCCAGGCTGTCATAGATCGGAGAGATCACGCAGGAGGCTCGACTATTATCTCCAATTCACTGGTGTAAATCAGGAGCACAAGAAGAACTGAGCTTTCCATCAAGCTCCATTTTATTTCATAAGAGTCAAGCAGAGATCAGAATTCCTCTCTTCTACACTTGACTCTCTGCTCAGCTACCTCAGAAAGATCATGCCAGAAATAAGTTTCTGCTGTAAGGTGGTAAATTCTTTATAGAGTCAACAGTCATGGATGATAGGCAAGCTCAAACTAACTCTAATCATAAAAAAGGATTTTACCTAACCTTCAAAATTCATCCACTACAACACTCTAGAAAATCTCACAGTAAAACCCTAGGTAATGTCATGAGGAAACACTAACTGAAAAAATGGCCCTGAAACAGAAATGTATCATCTAGCTATACGGAATGGAATTTAAACCACAGGTTAGCAAACTTACCAAATTCTAGTTTTAAAATTTAATAAAACTGCACAACAATGTAACGCAGTAACGCCCAAATAAAATATGAACAGAAACATCTACGCAAGAAGTGACCCAGTGTTATTTTTTCTCCTACAGGCATAGATGAGATCCAACAAAGCATGTGCACTGTTTAAGGCACCTCATTACGAGGAGAACAATTGTTCATATCAAAATTTCATGGGTATTTTCCACGTACAGAAACCAAACTGAAGTTGCTCACAGAATCTATGCTCATAAATGCCTCCTGAGGACATTAAGCGCGCAAATCATGAAAAACTCAGCTTATCAGAGCTGTAACCTGTTCCCCCCAAAGCCACCTGCAGTTCTTTGAGGATTAACAGCTGCAGGGATCATTCTTGCTAGTCTCTGAAGGAGCAATTTGTATTCACGGAAGTCATCTGCTGGACTTTACCACCACCACAGCATGGACAAGAACTGCTTGTGCAAGACATAAGTAAGTATGAACATTAGGATCCCTTGAGACAAAACCTACAACATGCATTTTCAAAAGAGCAAGATTTACTTTCCATCTTCTGTTTCATCCTGTAACTTCCCTGCAAAAGAGAAATTTCCCCTGACCAGTGGCTGCGCAGTCCTTTTCTTCCACTGTTTTATTTTGTGTTAAACCCACCAAGGGAGTTAGGTACATCAGAGGCGGGATGCTGGATAGAGGCATGATGGCCCAGCCGAAACCGGGACCTAGTAAAAGCAAATCACATGTCTTTATCTTGTTTTCTGTAATTTTACAGCTGAACCTACAGCTGGTCTAAAAGAAGCCTTTCGAAGTGGCATCTCCTTCTCTACAATACCTGGTGCATATCTTGTACTTCACCCTATCCTGAACTTTTCATCCCTTTATGTTTTGATTTACAAGAGCGCTAACAACAGGACACTTGTTTGTCAGATTTAGAGGCAACTCCTCAGAAGCTATCTATGGCATCACTCTCCTCTTGGATTCTCCTTCCAATACTCTTCTTTCACTCCTCTTTCTGATTCTCCACCTATGTATTAGCCACCTACCAACAGAATTGTTCAGCTGATACTAATTTTATCACTGTTTTTCCTCCCTTCAGGCTCTCCTTTTTTTGCCCCGCTTTCTTTCCCTCACTTCCCCCACGTCTGTTTATCTCACTTCATCGCAATCTCTGTTTGCATAACTCTAGTTCTTCTACCCTACACTCCAACTCCTTCCCAAGCCCTCAACACTGTACCTCAATTTTGTATCCTCTCTCTCTCTCAACTTCCCCCATCGCACATTGCCTCCATACCTCAAATACTACTCAGTTTAACCTTCTCACCATCCATTCTGGCTCACTCCCAGTACCCTTCCCCTGCTTCTACTACCATGACAGTGAATGGCCATGGTTTAAGTCTGGTATTAACACCACAAATATATTCATTCCTAATTCACATCAGCCAGTTGTTTTGCCTCCAAGTGCTATTTCCCTGCCTCATTAAACTTCATTTCCATAATTCCTGTCACATATTTGTAACATTTGTTTCTCTTACTCTCTGTCCCAAATCCTTTTTTATTTCTTTCTGCCCAGGAGCAAACCAAATTCTTCAGGATGATCAGCAACATTGACGTTGTTCTCCTTCAAAATCTTTGTAAGCCCTCACTCCACCCACAGCCTAAAAGAAGCTGTTCACCTGAGATGGAGAGATTCAAGACTGGCTTGATTTGTGCTTTGGAACAAACCTGTTAATAATAATATAATTATATAGAGTAAACTGGCAGCAGACAAACTCCAACAAACTGGGAGCAGAGTATGCCTTCAGAACTGCAGTCACTTCCTTTTTTGCATGCTTCCTAAGCTACAGCACTCTTACACTACTACTCACTCTTATTTCTGCAAACTGGGGAGAGGGGCAAAGATGACTCCATTTCTCCACTAACTGCTTAGAAAAATTAGGAGAAGCCCAAGCTTCACCCTGTGCACTGGTCTGAGTCCTGTACCTATTTTTCTGAGGTCATGACAACTACAAAACATAGAACCTACAACCAAGGACACACTAACAATGGCTTCTTGGCAGGGACTAGACACAGCGTATGAGGAAACAGGGACTTCAGAACCAACAGACCTCTGCAGGGCATACGGCAATGGGAGTGCTCTACAACTAGCTAGTCTCTCCATCAGAGTGCTTGGCGACTGACAAGTTATGAAAGAAAATTCCAGCGAGCAATGTTCCCTGGGCTGTAAAGAAAGAGATTATACCAACTTAATTATCAACAAATATGCCTAACGGGTATAACCTCTTTTTGTGGCACTGGGATTTGCTCACTTCATTTCTCACATGCTGAAGTTCATCAGAAGAGGTCAAGGATTGCAAGGCTGGTGTTGCAATTCTTAGACTGGCATTTTGGACAATTTCTGACTCTGCTCAGAGCTCCGGGTGAGCAATCTCCCTCTCCTCTGCAGCCCCAGCCCTCCCAAAGCTCCTGCAGGCTCTCTGCAGTCCCACATATTAGCAAAGAACACACAAGATGACCAAAATTTTGGAACACGTACCAATACAGAAGTCCTGCTTGATGGAATGGAGGCTAAAAATGTAATATTGAAACAATCAACAAATATATGTTTACCAGTGCTTCATTACCAAATGATTATATAAAGCACACTGCAACTCAAAACAATTTGAAAAAATAAAAATATTCTTCAATAGCCAACCATAAGCATAGCAGCTGTGGGGCCAATATAAGAATATGAGAGAGACGCTTCATTTAAGATCTGTAGAAGGCCGTATTTTCACTAGCTTAAATATTTAATACAAACACTGGTAGTTTTGTGTGAATTAACCTCACAATAAAATATTTTGAAGCTGAAGGGAAGAGGCTATTTTGGCCTCTACATTGTTTTAAAAGATACACTTGACCTTCTTGAAGCCCTGGTATGAAAATCTCTCCGTATTTAAGTGTCCAGCATTGCTACTTTCTTTGGATCAGAATCTCATTCCTCATCATTGATGGACCTCTACCTTCAACAGAACAAACTTCAAAGTCTTGTTCTTCCGCTCCAGCCAAAAATAGACTTTATTTTAAGAAATGACAACTTACAGATCAGACAAACCCAGATGGCGAAAAGGCTTCTTGGACAAACTTGAGAGCTTGTTTCTGGATAAATTGCTATGGGAAAAGAGAAAGATTGCATTCATTAGAATTGCTTCTTCTTACACTGAAAATACAGTTTGTGTCTCTTAAAAAAAAAAAAAAAAAGAACTCAAACCAGCTCTAAAAAGCCCTTATTCCTTTGACTTCAGTTGTAAAGGAATGGTGCTCAGTCTTGTTTTATGGTTTAATGGGTTTAGAGGGTTTGAATCCAGTCTGCATCTAAAGTCAAATACATTCAAAATCAAACTCAGCAAGGGTCAATATTTTCACTTTTAGCACTTCTGTTCGTTGCAGAAAAGCAGGAGATTTAATTGTGTTTCAAAAGTATTTTGTAAAGTCCAGGTGTTAATTACATGCTCAATTTATTCATAAGTGAAATGGGTGTATCTCTTTCTTTGATGCTGCACCAAACTCTGTACTCATATAAGCCTTCCTCACATGCTAGCACACATCCACATCAGAGCCTTTTAGTTATTCTTTTCAAATTGCATGTACAATATGCATCCACATGGAAGATCAAAAGGAAAACTGTAAAATGCCTATATTGGGCTTTTTTATGTCAATTAAGCGTTTACGGTTTCCAGTGGTAATTAAGTGAAAGGTCCTCTCCCATTATGCAGAGCAAAAACATGTTCATCTGCATCAGAAATACTCCTCCCCTCCCAGGCTTACAAAATTGCTTTCTCCACCCCAAAGCAAAACAATGCTGTTTTTCTACAGTCTTATCAGTCCACCAGTTAAAGACAGTGAGAGCAATAAACTGTATAACTGCCAGCAGTACAGTGCAAATCAGTGTTATGAGCCAAAATACCACACGAGTTTTATGTGGTATTATAAAGGCGCCATAGGGGCTCCATAGTTAAAGTTGCATTACATTTAAAACCAGGGATTAAATATCTTTTTTTTTTTTTCCCCCTAAGGAACACAGTCTTTACTTCCCAAACTTTCAGTCCTTGATCTCTGAGTACAAGATAATTTTCAGAGAAATTACAAATTGGGTCTTCTACAAACGTTTAGAACAGAATATTTAAGAGATTTTATTTACTGTATTTCCTCGTTGATTCCTTCTGACAAACAACAGCCTGAAGTTTACAAATTGACTAGTCCTAATGTGTGAGAACAGACCAGATGACCTACTATTTCATTAGTCAGGTGAACTAGACCGCCCTATGGCAGATGCTGGTGGAAATGCCTCGTGGACCCTGATCGGATATATCACAATTAAAGTACAATTTGCATATAGGACAGAAGTCATGTTTAAGTAAAAACTGCCACTATGATTTTTTCCCCAATATGTATAAGCCATATGTTGGGAGGTTGAAAGAAAGTTGAATCCACATATGGACTTTGGCTTTTGTCTGCAGCACTGAGGCAACATTAAGCACATCAAACCCCATCCCTCCATGGGCAACTCTTCACCCCTCCAGTTCTGACACTGCCAAGCAGCACATGCGGATGCCCCTGTGGTATTACCAAATGAGGCATGCACCTGCTTCTCCTACCTGTGCAGCAACTAAATCCTACCTTTCCCAAAAGACAACCAGAGATACAGTGGGCTTTACCTGCAGACAGGTGCCCATGCCACTCACTACTCCGTGTGTGATGCAACATAACTCTGGGTCGTGTGATGACCAGGTTTGAATCCTGGTTTCCACACAGCAGAGGACCCTGCTCTTCCATATCAGAAGCACTTCCTAACCATCAGATGATGGGTTCCTCAAGGAAATCCCTGTCCAGCTGAAGCCATTTCATTTTGCGTGATCTTCCCTGGCACGCTAACGGGACAGCAAGGCTCAAGCTCTGATTCCAGACCAAGGCAAATCAAAGGGGGTTTGAAACCCTCTACCACCACCACCTTCTAAATATTAAAGTATTAGAACACAAATCTGAAAATGGGCCACAAACATCTTATGTAAGAGCCCCAGCCACCCTCTGAGATAGTATTTCTTTCTTTTTTCTTTTAAGAAAATCATGTCTTAAAAACAAAATTGTCAAGAATATCTTAAAAACATAGAGACTGACTCTGGGAGAGGGTTTGCTGTTAGTAACCCAGCATGGACATAACAGCCCACCTACTTCATGGACAGGACTGAAGTCCCATCTTTCCTAAAGATTTCCTCCTGGCTGCTTACATGTTTCCTTGTTCAACTTACTCATGGTCATCTAACTCATCCCATCCCTTCCTGAGGTGCTGAGCTGCTCGCTTCAGAGCTATGAACTCTATCAGACAGCAGACTGCGAGAATTAGGTACTGCCATAGCTATACCTTCTTGTCATTTAGTCTCAAGCCAGTCATTGCTTTTGGAGGATTATTGCGAACATTTAGGCAGAAGAATAGACCTTACTTGTTTAGATTCATGAGCCAGACTTACTGTCCAAATGTCACCAGGTATGTTACTTTCTGAACACTTTGTGCAGGTATCAATGACTCCATGTGAGCCAGTGAAAAAATGGGACTGATAATTTAAGTAAAACTATCCAAAAAATAGTCATTATTTTAACAACTCCAGTTTTCAAAAACCAAAAGCACCTTGATAGCTTTAATTCTCTTTTCATATTTTTACCAGTTATGCTTGATACGCACCAAGAAAAGGAAGTAAGAACAGTAAGAAAAGTAATAAAAAATTCCTGTGCCTACATTCTTGATCATGTGTTGAAACACTTAGTGCTTCCAATACTGTAGGCTTTTCTCCCATGTAGTTTAGCGCTTTAAGGTTTCTCAAGTTGACAAGTAATTCAACAGAAATTTTTCAGATGACTGTTACAGATTTATCACCTTAAATGATACTTTGACAGCAAATTTAACATTGTATATATATTTTATACATTGAGCACTTTACATTGATTATAAAGATGCCTGCTGCGGTCTCTTTAATTCATGTTAAGTGAAAAAATCACTACCAGGCGTCTGTATGGTTTGTGCTGTTTTGGTGGGGGGGGGGGGGGGGGGGAAGTCGGGAGTACAGAGCTTGGCTGCAAAGCTATACCTAAGGAGCGGACCCAAATTCAGTCAAAAGCATGCCCACATTTTACACAGAATCATATAGAATGGTTTGGGTTGGAAGAGACCTTGAAGATCATCTGGTTCCAACCCCCCTGCCATGGGCAGAGACACCTTTCACTAGACCAGGTTGCTCAAAGCCCCATCCAGCCTGGCCTTTAATGCTTCCAGGGAGGAAATGTTCGAATATTAAGCTCACTTTAAACTTGCTAGCCCTAATTCAGCTAAAAGCAAACCTGTGGCAATGTGAGGAGTACAAAAGCAGCCCAAGAGGCTGCATAAATACTCACACAGCTAGCAACACAGGCACAGCTCTACTGCCTGTAGCACCCCTAGCAAGGGGAGGCAAGAAGGAAGAGGAGGGAACAGATCTAAGGAGAACTGGGGGAAGAGGTGAAGAAATGGCCATTTTGCTATGCTCAGTCTCCCTCCACAGGCAACTGCTTGCTCTGCCTATGGCTGGAGCCAGCCCTGTGTGCAAGCAAGGGAAAATCTGCAGCAAGGTCTCACATGGTTTCATTTGGCTGCCTTACCTAAACCCAAACAGTGTAGAGATACAAACAAATCTTAATACCTAGAGCTGTATATGTACTACACTCACAAATCTATGAGTCAGTGATGCAATTATACACAGCTGTCCTGGTTTCATCTGGGATAGAGTTAATTTTCTTCTTAGTAGCCGATATAGTGGTGTGGTTTGGATTTAGTATAAGAATAACGTTGATAACACACTGATGTTTTGGTTGTTGCTGCATAGAGTTTACACTACTCAAGGACTTTTCAGCTTCCCATGCTCTGCCCAGTGCACAAGAAGCTGGGAGGGGGCACAGCCAGGACAGCTGACCCAGACTGGCCAAAGGGCTATTCCATACCATATGGCGTCATGCCCAGTATATGAAGCTGGGGGAAGAGGAAGGAAGGGGGGGACGTTCGGAGTGATGGCGTTTGTCTTCCCAAGTAACCGTTACGCGTGATGGAGCCCTGCTGTCCTGGGGATGGCTGAACACCTGCCTGCCCATGGGAAGTAGTGAATGAATTCCTTGCTTTGCTTTGCTTGTGTGTGCGGCTTTTGCTTTCCCTATTAAACTGTCTTTATCTCAACCCATGGGTTCTCGCACTTTTATGCTTCCGATTCTCTCCCCCATCCCACCGGGGGGGAGTGAGCGAGCAGCTGTGTGGTGCTTAGTTGCTGGCTGGGGTTAAACCACGACAACAACCTGGCATGTAACAATAGCTATTTTTTAACATTTTTGGAAATACGCACTAGCTGTGTAATATATTTTTATGTTTAAAGGTGTTGACAGTACACCATGCAGATGTATTACACAGGTCCATTAAAATTACTGTTAGCAGCAGATTAAGTTTATAAATTACAACACTACTAAACTAAGACTGTTTAACAGTTTGTTAAATGCGACTGTTGACTAATTTGAGTCTAAGGTCAATGAGAATACCAGAATTAGATGAGCAAGGCTATTAATTACATTTAAGTAACACCTATTAGAGCATTTACTTTCCTGTTGTTTACGTTATTACTCAAATCTTCTCATCATACATAACTCTAGAAAGATATCTGGGCTACAGAAGTTTGGCCAAGAAAATTAGGTAATAACAAAAAAGGGCTTAAGGAAATGTGCATTAATAAGATCCTTACAATCTAATATTCTTATTTGATTCATAAAATAAATACTACATTCATGTAATGAAGGTGCTTAACTACATCAGAAGATTTTTCATAGAAGAAAAAGAAAACTAATAGTATCACTAGCAAAATCAAAGCTTATGCAGTTATATCAGTCTTCAAAAAAGTGTTTGGAGTTTTTGTTTTCTTTATGGGATAGTAACAAACTGTTGTTTCAAAATAAAATGCAAGACTTCTCAAAGACCTGTACTCAGAGGTTACTCTTGCAAAGTGAAATGATTTCAGCTCTGAATAGTTTTCACTGTCCCAACCACAACAGGGGCTGCACTTCATTCCCAGTGCAGTCAACAGGGGTTTTATTGCTGATAACAACAAGCAGTGATTCACTGGGGCTTTCAGAAACATTTTAGTGTGCATCAAAGCTTCCCAGAGAAAACAAACAAATGCATTTTTTGCAGGGATAATAGATCAGCCTTGGCAAAAAATGTCTCCATACTTACTGCTTTGTCACATGCATACAGAGCAGCTGGTGCCACTTAATATTTTCCATCTTATCTGGGCTTATCCTGTGTCTGCTAACATTACTAAATCCCCACCAAAAGAAAACACAGTACGAGACTGGATAAGCTCCTGGTTCATAACGTTAAGTATTCTGGATCAGGATTCCATGTACATCAACCGAACAGATGTCAGTCAGCCTAATTTGTTTCTAACAAGGAGCTTCATGAATTACAGATCTAGTAAAGCCTGCTTACCAACAAATACGTATTCCATGTTTGACTGTGTGCTCCAGC